TTATGTATCCATAAAAGCTGCCTCACTATCTTGTTTGTGGTAAATATAAAAGCTTTTAAAACTGGGCATTTTAAACCCAGACGAATACACAAGTATTTCAAGCACATATTGGGTCTGATAGACAAACCATTCTGATTGGTTCTTCAGTATTAGTCATTGTCTGTGTGTTGTGTCAATATTACCAGTGTTATAGCTGTTCAGTAGTTGAGTTTTAATAAGTGGAAATGATACCTTGGTCTTGTGACCGCTGTCAGTGTCCGCAGGTTGTGCTGGTGGTGTTCAAATGTTGGTACTGTCCAGTGCTTCAGACCTGGGGTATTATAATGGTGTTTTTGCCCCCGAGCCTCCACTAACATTCTGATCCTGGTTCAGACTGAGCACATAACAAATGACTTTATTATAATCTGTAAAACATTCATGTTCTCCAGGGACCACGTCCTGCTAATTTCTCCAGTTGTATGAACAAGTACAGAATTGATTGCCATGACATTCATGTCTTGAACAAAATGGATTGTGATAATTTAGTGAATCCTTGACATTTTATCTTGTGTCGTCATTCCTCAAGTTTATAATTCATCCATTTCTTTTGCTTTACGGCCAAATACAAATTTTGTTCCATCCATCTTGGCCTCACTTTGCACGTTTCAGCAGGCTAACGTGGAAAAAAGGAGACGTGTGTGTATATATGGGATATTATATCTGTCAAACCTCAGTATGTATGTGCTGTACTTGTAGGTCTCCTTGTGAGTGTATTGGCGTATGTAGCCTCAGAGACACGAGCAGTGCTGTCACCTCTGAATCTGTCCGTAACATATGAGGAATTAAGAAATATCTTAAATTACAGTGGGGTCTATCAATAACTGAGACCTTTTACCAAATGAAAAAAGCACAGTCAGCATCCTGACTATTTCCACCTGTCGCCACATAAATTGGCTAAATTGAACTTCATTACTTGACAAGACGTTATCCACATCTTACTGGGAACTGAAATAGCAATTTCATTATATTTTCCTCTGCATATTTCTCACGCACTTTTTCTTACAGCGACAAATCCACCTCTCAGCATGATACTGAAAGATCCATGCATAACTAATGTCTCCCACTAAATTACATTAATTGTTTTAAACCTTGACATATCAGCACGATTGCACCAAGTCTCAGCTGGGTGGGCAAATGTATTATTGATCAAAATTTTTACAATGGAATGATGAAAAGGATGATTAATTTACACTGTTTAGTTGGGATGAAGCACTTATGTTGTTTTCATCCACTCTGGTTTGACTTTATATTTGGAACGGACTTGATGAGCAGAGTTATACGGAGAAGACGACTTTGTTTACGCCAAATATTGGATTGTGCTGTGTTCACTTTCTTTCGTTTGTGTTGTTTTTCTGGGAACTTTTCGTTATCTCCCAAGCACAAGTCGGACTCTTCTGATTTTCTGTCCTAGATTGGGGGTGTCAAACTAATTTTCACCGGGGACCACATCAGCAATACAATTCCCCTTGAAGGGCCTGTTGTAAATGGAAGACTGTATAGATCAGGGGTACCCAAACCCCAGTCCGCGGACCAGTACCAGTCCATAGGTCATTTGGTACCGGGCTGCAGTCGGACAAAAAATGTACTTAATTTTCACTAATGTACTTCATTAAAAAAAATCTGTTTTTTTAATTAAAGATAATCTGGCAATATGTTGAAATAATAGGTCACGGGTAACGGGTGATACTGGCTGACCAGTCCTTGGAACAAAAAAGGTTGTGGACCACTGGTATGGTTAACTAGCATCATCTACTCAACATTCTCCTCATTTCTTCTTCAATGGTGTGAATGATTGTATGCATATATTAGGGAAGATGTCATTCTCACGAAGGTGTCGCTGTAATGAATAATGGGATGCCATCAGTGTTGATGAGAGCTTTATTCTGATTTCAGTGTAACGTACTCGGAGGATTCCTTCACTACCTAAAAACCCATGACCTTTTTTTTTGTTGACCTTTTAACTCCGTGTTGGGCCATTTACCTCCAACTGTTTATTTCTGGGTTGTAAATCGCTGCAGAGCATCACAGTGGCCAAGTGGTGCAAGCAATAACATGAATAATCCATTGGCAGTTCCTGCTGGACTGATGGAACAAGAGAGCTCAATTACCGTGGTACTTTGAGAGTACATGCGGAGTACAACCAGACAATAACAACATTAGCCTTTCCCCCTGAAAGGTTAAACATATTTTGACTCGGGAGTATGTTTAAGTTGTATGTACTCACGCTCTGTATACTTTCTGAGTTCATAATCAAGCAAAACTTTGAAACATGATTGACTGGATATTTTTGAGCTGCAACTGAGTAGCAAGTATTTGAGCAGGGGAAAAAAATGCACCCCTAGTTTGAGTTATCATTGAGATACCAATACTGGTATCAGTAGCAGGCCAACATTTCATTCAAATACTAGTACTCATACCCGAATCAGATTGATTGAGCCACACGATACTCTTATGTGTTACAATACGAGCAATACTCAGTTCTCAGTTCACCGATTCAGTGAATAGATGGCAACTCACCAGGTCACTTCTTTGTAGAAACTTATTAAACCATCATTTGTTGGGGGTCTCATTAGAACAAATTGGTTTCTCTGCAATAGTGAATGGGGCACAGGTTCTGACGTGTGTGTGACATGTGGACCAAATAGTTTCTTCATTAGCACCTTGTTTGCAGCTCTGGCATTGTTTGGGTGGCAAAGGTCGTTATTTTATTTATTCAGGTCATCTGGGATCTTTGAACTCTGAATCCGGAAGCTTGGAACAGTCTTGAATTTGGGTTGACTGAAACCCTAGGGTGTCATTTAGAGAAACCAAACATTAAAATGTCAACCAAATAGACTGAGACTGAGTTTTCTCTCTTTTTTTACATCATAACACTGACCAGTTTATGTTCTTAAAATATTAACAATGTTTTCCAAACTCCCTGCAATTCCTTGGCAAGACGAGCTGTTTTATATATATATATATATATANCAGACCATTTGAAATTCATCGTGGAGGTCCATTGTCCATTCCAGGCACGTCTGTCAATCTGCCTGTGAAATGAAAAGCCACAGGCTACTGACCCAGACACATCAGCTCCCCTTTCAGAACATCTAACATTTTCTGAAGTCTTCATACCCACACATTGATTTCTTTAAAAAAAAAGTATCTATATTTTTGGCTCTCTGGTGCCTTTAAGGACCAGGCTTGTGTTGTTTTTTTTTTTCTAACTCAGTCTTGTGATGTTGTCATTTCAAGGGAATTTAATGCTTTGCAATTACGTAGCAAACACGAATCCATCATACAGTGATGTTTTATCTACAGTTAACATTACAACTCAAATATTTACATTTACCTGTTCCGATATTCGTTTAGGAGTCTCGGAACATTTCTCAGAGATGACTGAGTCAAGAGAACGGGCAGATATAAATCTGAGGTTTAATTATTGATTGATAAAGAGTGTAGCGTTCACCGATCGCCTACAGTAGTCCACCTGAGAAACGGCTCCTCCTCAGGTCTTCAGCAGTAAATCTGATCACACCATTTACTCTCTTGGTTTTCTGTATAATTCTACAGCAGACAGCAGCTGTAATGCATGCCTTATGTGTTGCATGTCCCTCAGTTTTCAGAGCTCACACACTGCTCACTTTGATCTCAAGGCCACAGTAGGAAAGAAGTTGGATTTTTTCCTCATGTTTATTTCTTTAGTGTGTTTATTATTTAAAGAGATTTAAATAACTCCCCTCATGTAACTAATTTTCTATTAATGATTCAGGCCTTTAGTTAGATGCTAATGAAAAATCCTTGTGTAATTATTTTTTTTTTGGAACATTTTCAAGACAGAGACGTAAACACGAACACGAATTTCATAACAAACAGATATGAGAAAAAGGATGTCTAAAGTAGTTTACTCTGGATTAAAACTCAAACTCTGCTAAATAGGTTTTCAAGCAAGTCTAAAGTGTTCCAAGGTTTTCATTTAATGGTCTTTTGACATGGACCTCAGGTCACTACAGAGATTTTCTGCTGGACTTTTGTAGACCAGCCTATTATACATTTGACTTTGGGCAGCTGTTGTGTTACAAATAACAACACCAGGTCTGGTGTTTCTGTTGTCTGTGTGTTTACTTTTAAAAGTAAACTTCATATTTCATACTTCAAAGTTCTATCACCGCTCACAAGATTGGCGTTCCTTGTGTTTATATAGCTCTCCTTTTCCTTCTTAAAACATTTACAAAATGTTTTCGTTTTGTCTGGTCTGACCAAGTGCTAGGCTTTCAGGATGCTTGTGGCCTTAGAGGATCAGGTTTAGTTATCAGAGGTTTGCAGGTTTGAATCCTGACCTGGCTGGTTGTGGTGGTTGGGCAAGCACCCAGAGTTCCCTTGGTGCTCCTAAAAACTGCTCCCCAAGCATGGGTATAAAGTACAATGACAAATAAAGCTGATTGTTGTTCTTCTTTTTAAAAGTGCTCCATTAACAGAATTGGAGAAGGAGTGCAGGGCTCTGGTGACTGTCTGCTCCGAGGTTGAGGAAGTTTTGTTTTGTACCACATGGATCTCTTTGACCGTGAAACATGATTTTGATACATTTTTCTCCCCGTACATTAGGAAATTTTTGTATTTCATATACACAAAGTTCTTTGGCCATGAAAACTTTTGCAAGAATTTAACAACTTTATATCTGTTATGTAACCCGTTTAGCTTTATGCAAATTGTTTCTTCCAAAATCTAAGGTGTAACAGCTGAATACACCAAAATGTGACCAGTAACAAGTTATAAAAAAACAATCTTGTGCAGCTGAGATATTGATAAATTAAAAAGGATGAGCAAACTATGAATTGCTGAGTTAGGTTTACTTGATTGGCACTGGGGAAATACATTTTTAAGAACACTTAAAAAACTCCATTTCAGAAATTCTTTAAAACAACCTATATGTATATATTATAATCTGTTTAGAATAAAATGAATTTTAATGAGACTGGTTTAATGTAGAGTCACATTTTATTTGTGCTGAAATTCAATAAACCCCTGAGTGTAAGATGAGACAAACATCTGACAGTGTTTCACAGGAACAGATAAAATGAAAATGTCACAGAAATATCACAAGACCGGAATCCAAATGGCACACAAGTTCAGACAAGAGCAGAGAATAAGAAAAATGTGACTGTGTGCACATCCGCTACTGTGTTGTGTTACTGTAGGTGTAAAATCTGAGGAGCTGTGGTCAGAATGCTGTATGCACTCAGGTCAGTCCCAATATTAAAGCAGATCACTGGTACCAACAATACAATACAATGTCAAACATCAAAGTGCTTCCAGTACCAGACATTAATATTTAATAAATACTGATCATTATATGTACTCAGAGTTGGAGGTAATAAACATCATTAATCATCATCATAACAGCATTTAAAAAATGAAGGGCATCCCGAGTAGTACCAGAAAATATCAACCTCCCTCTGTGATGTAAAGCACAGACAACCAAACAACATAAAATTATATAAAAATCTTGGGGTCAAAAAAACCCAAGAAACACTTTTTTACATATAAAAACACCAGGTTTTAAGTGTTTCATCTTTGTGTCATAATGTCTCGTCTACAAATGTAATGAATCACAGTATATAACGAGTAATAAATACTACCACCGATTGTCTGGAATAAAGCAAACTTTCTTAGTTGTGGAGAATTTTTCTACTAGTATGATGGACAGATGTTTACCACCATGATAACTAAAAGATAATTTCCACAGGAGTGTTTTATCATCCACAGATTCATTAAAAAAAACCTCAGTGCAGCGTCCTACTGAACAGAAATGGCACTCTGTTTTAATCTCTTGGTAAAAAGGTGGCTGCTTCTTCCACAGTAGGTGTCTGTGGTGGTCTGCAGAGAGGCTTCTAGAGAATCCAGCAGCGCGGTCTCCAGGTCTTCACCAAAATTGTACTGCGATGGGAAAAAAATGAAAGAATTAGATTTCTGATTGGAGCTGTCAAAAAAAAAACATAAATGAAATGAATCATAAATTTGCATCATAAATGCATTTCAATAATCAGGGAAACTGACATGAAAAAAAGAACTTCAAGATTTAAGAAGTGTTAATTTCAAAAGTTTTCAGAAAATCAGAATTCTGTCTTTTGTCACACCATCAAATAAGGATAAAAACGTCATCATACAGTGTTTGAATAGACTATAATTTCTCCGGACATCAGGTTACTGGTGGCAGACTTTCTTTATTATCACTCATTCACTGCAGTCGGCAATAAAACACCATTAACAGCCTCCTATCGATTTTTATGTGGATGCTGCTGGTGCATTGTCCACACAGCCATCATGTCTCAAACTAGCATCAGCACTAAAAATTTTTACAACACTTCTGTGGGCTGGCTGGGTAATGGTAGTGCCCTTTATTGCAAGCTCCTCTGCTGGCTGAGAGAGCCTGCAATGGGAGCCAGGCTGACTAAGGAGCTCTTGGTGGGATGGAAATGAGTTTCTTTCAGAATTGCCTGCTCCAGGCTTCGGGGTGCTATCCTCCCAGGACGTAGTGGGAACAGAGTGGGAGGGGGCCTGAGGAGCAACCGGAAGGGTTGATAAAAGCTTCAACAAAGCATAGCTTCGGAATACAAAAGGATTAAATTCTCCTCTGTTACACAGACCTGAAGTCTAATAAGCTAATGGTAACACAAAGCCACAGAGTGTGCATCCATCCACTTAGCACAGGGCATGTTTCATAATAACAAAGAACCCGCTGCATTCCTCAAACTCCTAAAACCAGGTAGAGCAGGCTGTATGTACACTGTATGTGCTGCTGTGTGTGTTTTTGTGCTGTCGGAGAGACTGATGGAGGCATGAAGCGGCGAGTGCCCCATAATGAAGCCAGCTCGTTTACTTAATGGCTGAGAACATTGCCTGTAGTGATAGTGGCCAGGCTAGCCCTGTGGCAGTAATGGATGGAGACCAGCTAATGATGCTTCCCCTGCCCCTCCACCCTTTCCCCCCGCCTCCATGTTGACCAGTGTGATGATGTAAACAGGGGCGGATGAAATATGTACCTCTGGCCCAACAGCACTGTACAGCTGACCTGGCTCCTCACTGATGATGTGAGTTACTGAGCAAAGAGATGCTGCGTTAAAGATGAATTAATGTTAGGCAGGTGATAACACAGTTGACTAATTGGGGATTTTTTTTTGTCACAATGTCATGCCATCGATGTTTACTACTCAATGAATTAGGTTAATCAAGCTTTTAAACATTATAATACTGACATGTATTATAAAGTATATACTGTAGTTTTGCTCAAGATGGCAGTAATTTAGTGGGACTTCTCACATCTCTTTCCAAACCCTTTGTTATCATGTCGGCGTACATTGTATCTGAGTTTATTAAAAACAATGTTCCCTGATGTGATTAATGGTAATCTTATGACACTGATGAAACAGCTCAGTTCATTTCACGCGTATGACAGAATGACAGAAATGTTTAACAGGTTATTGATTGAACCACTAGTAAATGGAAGCCCCGGTAAGATCAGAAGTTCTGCCTTTAAAAATAGAATAAACATTGGTCCCACGCTTTCTACTGCTGGTGTCTGGAATTTCTTTAAAATGATTGTTTTTGGAAGAATAAATTTGCCAAACTTGGGAATGTGTGCAATACTTGGCTTTTGTTAACAAACAAGAGCCCTTCAGGAAATATGTCATTTTTTTTATTTTTGTTTGACTGCGGGGGAAGTGATGAAGCACAGAATAATGTCACTTTGAGGCTCTCTCTACCTTCTGGATGGCTTCGTAGACAGCCCGAAATGCTGGCTGCTTGTCATTATGGTACACTCCCCGGTTTCCATGGAGAATGAAGACACCTTCCTCCTCAGCCTGATGACAGTTGCTGCCATACATGCAGTGGTCTGGGCGATAGTTCCACTGACAGGGAAACACATACAGGCTCTCTGTAACACAGAGAGAGGCATGGAAAGAGTCATTATAAATAAGTGACCTGGTCCAAGAAAAAAACTGAAATGTTTCCAAAAATCATCATCTTGTCTCAAAATACTATTATGTGCGAGGCTGCAGAAACCTGGATTATGGTGAAAGATGATGTTAAGGAGGTCCTGGTCCCCCCAGGTGATGTTGAGTTTGTACTTCTGGAGAAGAGGCATCAGAATTTCCTCCCACTTTAGTACGGCTGTTGTCATGTCATTCTGAGAGAAAAAAAGAAAATTTATATAATCAGACAGCGTCCACACATGTTTTCATCATGTACAGCACCATTTTATAATTCTGTTTATTAAATTGTGTTTCATCACACTTCATTTCAGAGAACATGCCATTTTTACTCAAATAACTGCGCTGGAATTGAGGCCTAGCAAAGAAATTACAAGAGTGACCTCATGAGGCCAATGTTGGTGGCACAGCTACTGCTTGATTTTTTCCATTCACACTCAAATACTCCACAATATTACAAATTCGTTCACGTAAAATTCTGTCTATATTAGTTCAATTACTTGTTGATTTGATTTTTGACTCATTAAAAATCACAGTCATGTCATTTACCCAGTACGTGTGTATTCATACTAACGGTTTACTACAAATACATGTACTGTTACAGCCCTAATTTAGGATAATTGAAATAAATAAAATCTCTATGGTTTTACCTTAAAGAATTTCTCCCTGAGGCGAGTCATGTTCATGAGCATCACCCCTGAATTGATGCCCGTTATGCCGTAATAAGGGTGGCGGGCAAATCGATTGTACCATCCAATGCGTGGCTCCTCGTGCTCTGGGGCCATGGCAGCCAGCTGGTCTGGAGTGAACTGTGAAAGCAGAGCCCAAATGTCCTCTACTGGCCGCAGGAAAAGGATATCAGTGTCCACATAGAGCAAAGAATCCACTTCTTTTAGGATGAGCTGAAATCAAAGATAGAAAAACTGTCAACGTGGTGGTGGAGGTGGGCATATAATCGTTACACATGTACCAAGTAAAAAATACGACTCTACACTTACTGGCAGAAAGAGCCTCTGTGAAGCACAGGGTTTGAAGAGTTTCTTCCACTCACTGGCATTCTCCTCAGGATAGGTAATGGCATGTATTTTAAACTTGAATTTTGTCCTAACTGTGGCAGGCCAGGAGTCCAGCTGTGTAACAGAACAATAGCAGATGCTATACCAACAACATCATAATCTGACACCTGCTTTAGGAATATAAGAAGTGAACATTCTGGTGCTGATGCCCGTGTAAAGGACAGACAGAGAAGACTTACAGCTGTTTTGAAGCTGTCATGAAGATCGTCCTCAGCAAAGATGTAAATGTGCAGAGGCTTTTTGCTGAAGAGAACAGCAGACTTGACCATGATGAGAGTCTCCTCCAGCCTGGGGCCACAGGCCACCACAGCCAGGTGACTAGTCTCATCATTTAGTTTCTTGACTTCTGATCCTGACCTCTCTCTGTGAGTCAAGACATAGTTGTGAAGGTTATTTAATTACTCCAGACTTTTGTTTTAATTTCTCTTTGATGAAAGATCAAGTGTACCTACAGATTCAGCTGTAGGTGAATGCACAAATATTGTAGTATTGTATGTGAGGAGAATATGAGCCGATGGTTACATATCATTTATATCACCTCACAGCATAGTTGTCCAAGTCATATTTGAAGGTTTTCAGAAAAAACAACATGCCTAAATCGGATAGTTGACTGACAGTGATTATGGAATGTAACAAGCACTCTGATTGGCTGAGGATATAGCCAGTAGGGCAGAGAGAATAAGCATCTTTAGTTGAAATGGGCACTAAATGTCAGCACATAAGATAGAATTACAGTAGTTATCAAGTAAGTGAAATCAAACAGATAATGAGAAGCACTACCTATTTTACTATATACATTTTTCTCAAAACGTATTATATGGTTGACAATCAGTAAAGAATCATTTTATCTTCTTATGAGAACCACGATCAGCCTATGATAGCCGCCTGTGATTAAACTTACAATGTGACAATAGGTCACAGATGTATATTTTTCATATCCGCCATCCTAGATTCCACTAAATTAAGTAGGAGTCATGCAACTTACAGATAAAGTGTATAATAATTTGTATTTGGACTAAATAAACTGGTAAACCAATCTGAAATTTAAAGCACCGCCTGTGGGAAAAGAAGGTGGAACTAAATGTTTGGATACGAATGTTAGAATGCAAACATTTACCTTAAGTCCTGAGCATTGTATGTTAATATTTATAGACTGTTCTTTTAACAACAATGTCCTATATAACCAAATGACAATTGATTATCTTGTTCTTGTGGTTTGCAATTGTTAAAATAGCGTTTTTGTGATAGAGTTCGTATAGAGTCAAATTAATTCTAGCAGTAAAAACAGATATTTTGGGCTTGAAAAAAAAATTTTAAAAATCACATGGCGATTATCAAAAAAATCTTTAAAATTGGAAAGCAAGGATTAACAAAAATCACCGAAATCTTATAGAAAGATGCACAAAATCAGTCATACCTAAAGGAAGATTCCACAAAGCAGTTCACTCCACATACATCAGCAGGCAGTCTCCAATATGGATTCCAGTAAGAAACTGACAGTGATTTACACCTGTCAGAATGAAAACGTGAGCTATTCGAATCTCAGAGTTAAATAATTGACCTCTTTATTCACACTAGACATTCCATGCTAAGGGATTAGACTGGTGAGCTGCAGCTTCAGGGTTAGTGGTTCAATTTAAGATCCCTCCTTAAATCCACAAAGCTAACGAGTATACATGTAAGTTATGTCGACGAATACTATAATTTAGCAAATGCAGGCTAATATCAAGGCAACTATTTTAAAATTAACGATAATTTTAAAATACCTTGAGTAAGTAACGGAAGGTTAGTAATACAATATTAACTGCTTTCTACACTTTAGTTAAATTATATGTATTCAGCTTGTGTTCACTGCGTTATTACACTATATTAGTTTAACTACACAGAGATAAAGCATTAGTAAACAAACAACACACGTTTGAATAGAAGCGTTAGCAGGAGCTGTAATTTCTTCACTACAAGTGAGAAATAACTGTTAGCGGTTAGTAAAAAGACGTTTTTGCAAAAAACGGAACAAAATAGCAGGCTAAGCTACCTGTCAGGCTCATCTTTCCGGTATCTGAGGCCTGACGGTCCCGGACCTTTCCTGAGTAAGTGCCCCGTGTCATGACTGCTCCTGTGGCGGTTCCCCTGCCAACTCACTCCCCATTCCTTCACCTCCCCGTCCTCGAAGGTAGAGACGAGTTTACTGAAGACGTACAACAACGAGCAGAAGGTAAACACTGCGCTGAGGAGAAATGCGTGAAGAAAGCATCGCATTTTGTGTTGCGAGTCTTATCTTGTGCGCTACCGAACCATGGTTGTTGATTAGAACAGAAGTTTGTAGAAACACCAACGCCCATCACACTCACCCAGCAAGTCTGGAGTTAAGAGTTGACAGTCGTCTGTCCCACCCAGTCCAAACACTGTATGTGTGATCCAGATAAAGCAAAACTTGTGGGGACATTTTGGGACAATACTCAATACTGGGACACATTACCCTTATGGAGACATTTAGCAGTTCTCCGATGCGCGAGACGACAAATGTTCAAAATATTTTAGTTAGGAAAATCATTAGTCTGATTGGAGTGAGGTTAAGGTTTGGAAACATACATTTGGTATGTTTTAGTTATGGTTTTGTGTGCAGCACAAATGATTGTTGTTAAGGAGCTCCCATTATATCAACATCTTTAAGTTTACACATTTACATTAATGTTTCAAAACATATATTCTTTTTGGAGAAAGAAAGTTAAATTACACATCAGTGTTATTTCCCACCTGCCTTGTCTTATTTAATTCCAATTATATTTTAGTTGTAGCTAATTTGGTTTGAGAAAAGATGAGTTGTAGTACCGATGAAGTGAATGTTATTGGTTACATTTAATTACAACTTTAATATAAACAGTGTGCTCTCCCCCTTTTAACAGGCGTGTAGTGATGGAATCATGAAATCACGAAACAGTGTTAAAAGGATGCAAATTCAAGACACAGTCTTAATAACATTGTTTCTTCATTTAAGGTCACATAAAAGTCACAGTGTGAAAAAATGTTGTTGACAAATTCAACATACAACAGTATAATATGCAAACTCTGGATTTCCTGGAAGTACACACAAAATCTGATTTACAAAGTGGGTGCATTATTTGAAAACATTTAACTAAACCCACCTAAACATGAATTTACAAAAACATCTATAGATTGAACCATGCTCTAAGTTACCGAAGCAGAAAATATCAGGTGTTTTTGCTCAAATGATGGACAGATGATGGCTCTTAATGAGTCTGTTATAAATATCATGACTGATGGTAAACAGCAAATAAGAGATTAAGTGCAAAAAGTGGGAAAAACAAAGATATCCTAAAGTTGAAATTCTTTCCTTTTTTAATACCACAGTTCAGCAGCAATGGAAAACCTTTCCCTTTCCCTGAAATGCAGTTATGTTAGATGTGGACAACAAGTACAATTTCTGGTTGTAGGTATTCAAAGTGCAGGGGTGTACTGCAGACTGCAGAGTGTGAAGGTCAGTGAGTCTCTCCATTTACTGTAGAGCCTTCTCCAAGGGGTGATGAGCACCTGGAGACTCCTTGTTCTGTGTTATCCGAGCTTGATCCACTTTGACTGTGATGGTCTACTGAAGCAGCACTTGTTAAAGAAGATGTGGGGTTTGCTTTCTCCTTAAAGTCTGTGATAATTACAGTCAAATCTCCAACAGTGACCTCTAGATGCTGGGCGCTGCTGCGGTCAATGTTTTTTAACCTGGGCCTGGGGGAAAAAAAGAAAAAAAAGAAAAAGAAAATCGCAAAAATGAATTCTTGCATGGTAGATATTTTACACATTTACAGGTTAATTGTGAAAGAAAAACACTTGAGTAATGTTCCATTATTTTTTGGACATGAATTAATTACCTGATCTTTTTATGGCTTTTCTTTTTTAGTGTTGAATCCTTATCACTCTTGTCTTTTTCAGATTTTTCTTTCTTTTCCTTTTTTAGGTGTGTGGGCAGTGCAAACTGCTGGTTTACTTGCTGTGCAACCAGCTGAGAAACAGGTCGTGGTTTTCTGAAAGAGACAAAAATAAGCATTAGCCATTTTATTGATCAATTAATTAAAGATATATCTGTTTCATTAGAGTTAAAAAGAAACTATATTGTTTTGGTTTTGTTTTGAAAAGATTAATGAAAGATCAATGAAAGAAAAAAAAAGTTTATTGGCTTATTTCGTTGGTTACTACTGTGTACAGTATCTATAAAATCAGCCAATCGTTCTCACAATAATTCAGGGAACCTTCTGTCTAGTGTACTGCGTTCACAAAGTTGCAGTTAACTTTGTACTACGGACTTGTCCGAAACATGTCGTGCAAGTTCATCACATTAATGAGGTTTAAGTTTAATTGTGTAGTTGTGGTGATGATGATTGATTGCTTGTTAATGGATAGTGTTATGCATTGTTTCGTACCTTGTTGACGTTCCCTTCCTCACGTCGCACATCATACACTTGAACGCCTCTGCGCTGTTCTTGAACGTGCATACGCTACAGTCCCAGTAACCATCGTCAGAGGATGGCTTGGGTTGTCGCTTTGGCCTTCGAAGAAATTCACAAACAAACAAAAAATACATTATTATCAACGACGGTTTCACCGACCGCAATAAATACGGAGAAGCCGTGGAATAGCGAAACACAAATAGGCGTCAAATAAGTGAACTGTTCGGAGCTGAGAGTTACTGTGTGCGAAGCTTCTTCAGATTACACAGACAGTTGCCCTGTGTTTAACAGCAGGCAGCCGCCATGAACAAAACTAAACCATTCATTCACCGAGCTTTGTGTCTGCGTGAGTGTGCTTGTGTTTACAATAGGCTTAGTAAAATTTGTAGTTGAAGAAACCAGTCACACTTTTACCTTGTGGGACTCTTCTTGTCTCCCATTTGGCTCAGCAGACCTGAAATGTTTCAGCGTTACAGGTGAACAAACGCATTTAGCTGCCACACACAGCTGTGACGCTGGAAACTCCAGGGCTGGCCACGTGACCGGCGTCCGGCCAATCACTGCCGTTGTAATCACAGAGGCCAGTGATAAAACAGATGTAACAGACGCGTTGAGAAAATTGCACAATAACGTTATTGAAAATGTGTGCCATTAGGCTAAAGGGAATATAATAAACAAACCCGTTTACAATTGTAGTAAAATGTGGTTAAATTAAATGACGAACATGTAACATTGTTTGATCTTGTTAAATGTTATAAATATTTTATGGATTCGGGCGAAAAGTTTTTATTCTAACAATTTTGGTTATGATTACAACATACAAATGCTGTACATTCAGCTAAAATTATTGGTATTACCCTAGAATTTAGTTTTTTTTATCTACATCAAGTACTTTGTATTCAATTTGTCGTAGAAATCCGCTACCGCTCAAAAATACAGTGTGATGTGGAGTCAGTATTGAGTTTAATTATTGTCTTCAATTACTACTAAACAAACCGAAATATAATTTATTTCAACTAAAAGGCCATCCTTAAACATACGGAGGAAAACCAAAAGCTCATAGAATACAGAAGACAGTAAGACGCCCAGTACTCTGCTGTACATCTGCAGAACAGGGGGTGGCAGTGTTGCGTCATTACACTGGTGGCGAAGAAGTAAACTAGGAAGAGGAAGTAGTAGAAACAAACAAATACTCTTAGCATCGCCTCTTTATTGAAGAGTGAATATGCGAATGTAGCTTGGTGTAATGTAGAATTGGGGAAGCTCTATCAGCATTATTTTGTGAGTTGGACAATTTTTGAATGTCTTGTGTTTTTTTTAAATTTTTTTTTTATATATTTGCGATGCTAACCAGGCTAACACAATATTCGAGCTATTTGTACATTTGTTTGACATGAGTTACATTTCACGCATTCTAAAATTATGGTGAATTGTTTAAGCTTATACAAAATATCTAAAAATTGCACTTCTAAACACAGTTTTCCTTCTATTTACAGATTTATTATCCACGTTTAATACATAATAGCGTTCCAACCAGGACCCAAGCTCTACTCCTTGTCAGTAAGTTAAAAAAAGACATTGTTTCATGTTTTCACAACCATGTCATTACGCGACTTTGAAACCCTTTGGATCAAAATACTTAAGTTTGATATTTTACATGTTATACCGCGAATAAATCAGTATCTGTTGTGTAGAAACTGATCTGTACTTGTATGTATTTCTCATGAAAACACTACGTGCTACTTTAACAGGTGCGTATGTGATGTGTTTCGGAGTTTTACTTAATATGCCTCGTCCTGTCCAAAACAACAGATACTGATCCACAACATGTTTTGACAAAACGCGTTTTTCTTGTAGTGGCATATCGACAAGGCCGACAGTCGATTAGAGAGGGTTATGAGAAGCACTTTACAGCAGGGGATACAAGAGAGGTGAGTGAAAAACTCTGACAAACTGTGATACAATTAATGTCACACCACGTGTACACATAACTCAAATCTGGCCCTTCAGCACTGTATGGCCAGTAAAGTCTCAATTAGATATTTGTGTCTTTACTGTCTGATTTACTTCTACAAACTCCTGATCTGTTTAAATGAAATTACCCTTTTCTAAATAAACTGCACATTTCGGTATAATCTGTTTGGTTGTTTTTTTTGGCCAGTGTGATCAATATCATTTACATCATTGTATCTCAGAAAATAATTGTGCTTTTTTCTTCTTTTTCTTTTGGCTTTTGAATTGTGGTTTAAGAATGTTTTTTATAAAGTTGACTGTGCATTGTCATGCTTGATCTATGTTACTTAACTGTGGAGCTAATGTATTAATGTGTTTTCCAGGTGACTTTTCACCGAGTGGTTAATATTGTCGATAGGAGACATAACATGCCTGTGCATGGCACAGGCTGTAATGAGCACTTCCAAGATCAACAGTGGTATGGTCCACCTCGAAACCAACATGGCTCTCACAACTTTTACAGTGAAGGCTGCTATGAGTCCAATTACTTTGATGACGATCCCAGTTATGGCAACTTTTTCAGTTCTTCTACTCCATCAAATGTAAGTAAAGATTGTCGTTACACTTACACATTTCTCTTGCAGCTTATAAAATGATTGCTGAAAGTTACATGACTAACAACAACATTTTTGATGTTTAAATATTTTAACCAATACAAGTGTTGAGAAATGATGTGGCAAAGTGCATCACTAACCTATGTGTGCCATTAAATGTATTTATTTGTATTCATTTTTTATAAATGTCTTTTTGAAGCTAAATTGCTGTATATGTGATTCTATTATCAGGAGGACCATTACAAAAGAGATGATCTGAGGTATCAAATAGAATCAAGGTACTTTTTTTATTCTTCTATTTTCAAATCTTAATATAGTCCATTTGTCCACCAGGGGACATAATCATTATTGTGTTTTAATTCACAAATGTGTTTTAGTTCTTCTGTCTAACTTGCTGCTGTATTAATGTCTGAAGAGTGTGTGTTGTTTGCACGATTTGTTTGTATTCTCTGTGCCAATGATCTGTACTGGGAAATTGTACTGTAGTCTAACTGTGGTCCGTTAGTTAGAACTGGTCTCATTGCATGTTTTTAATTGATTTTAACAGATATTGAGGTCAGATTTGACAAAATGTATATTTTAACTTAGGTTTAAGGATGTTTTAACTCATCTGTGTATTTTTTGTTTTGAAATGTATGTCTTTGGTTGCGTTTATTATGGTATTGATGAAGGTTCCTAAAAATGTGTAGAAATAGTTTTAATATCAATTGATTTTTTTTTCTCCTGGTAAGTTTTTAGATTTATTTGTTATGGAATTTGAAGTTACATGTAAGCAAGCTTCTGTGTAGAGCATGAAACTGGCCTGTAGATGGGGGCAGAGTTCTGTGTTGCATATTCTTTTTGCACGGTCTGCATTGAACTGTATTACGTTACAAGATTTTCAGATACGCACAGACTACACACCTTCATTTCATTTGGTCTTTATTTAATATTATTGGGAAACATAAATAAAAACAATATATTACAGTTATACTCTCTGTATAGGTAATTGGCATAATTTTAATGCTAAAAGTTTAATGGAAATATTTAAAATAATGTGCAGCACATTTTAAGTACTCCTGTAAATTAAGGCCTATATTTTACACCAGTAGTATTTTCTTTTTTTTCCTCAATCTGCACAAGCTCAAATGTTTTTGATTTAATTAGTGTTCTTCATTTCTTGGTTTGGTTAAATATCCAGTAGGCTGAGCTAAAAAAAACATTTCTCTGCTTCATTTCCTGACAAAAAACATGGGATCGGCTCACATCTCATCCCATTTCCCAGAAAATACACCAGAGTATATGTGGTCCATGAATCACTGTGAGGCCTTGGTGTATAGTTTTCAATTGCAGTTGTGCATCAACACAGTTTTTGTGACACTCACTTGAGTCTCTCCACCATCCATGTTGGAGATTTGACCCCAGATCAGAAAACACATTTTTAAACTGACATTCACTTCCAAGCTGGACAGTCACACACGTTCATTTGTACCGTTAAAAAGAAGCAATGTTATAATTGCCTTTATTGACAAAATGTTAGAAAACCCTATGTTTAAAAATTCTGAATGCTCTGTATAAAACAGCAAATTTATTTATTTATTATTTCCCATTTACTTTTTGTTCATTTAAATATTGTACTTTTTCAGCATCAGTATTGTGATGTTGAGTTAGCTTTGTGCTGCATGGAGGGCATTTCAGTGTTCAGTGTTTGGCAAATGGCAGGCTGAGTCTTGGCCACTTCAAACACAGCATGCTGAGTCATAAAATACGCAGGCCTTATTAGACCTGCTCTTTGTTTGAGATTTACCCCGAGTTCAGCCAGAGGTCGTGACAACCAGGTGTCTGTGGGTCATTTATACCTGCGAACCTCAACGTTATGGTTCAGACATGAGTTGTTCTCTGAGCACAGAGAAACATAAAAAGTTAAACAGTAGGAAAACTCACTATCACATTTAAAAATGTCTGCAGACAACTTATTCATTATGTCGTGGGATTGTGTTGTTACTTTAATTCCAAATGAAGTCTAATCATGGCTGTGCCTGCAGTTAAAGATGGGAACCTAATGACATAAAACCAAATTGGTCAAACTGTCAGCCAAATGCTGCTTTTTCCAAACAGTAAAATTGCTTCTTTTCCACAAATTGATCCATTTCCTGTGTGTTGGCAATTCTCCGTCATGGATTCTTTTTTTTTCTTCTTACCCTTTCCATATGCAAACAGTCACAAAAAGCTAATCTCCTGCTTCCTAAACCAGTATTAAATGAAAATGTGCAGTAGTTTAGGATGAATGCAGAAGAGTGTGTGAAGTTGGTGTTGGTGGAGCGGGCAGATTTGTTATTTACTGGATATGAGTAACTCGTGATAATGAGAAGTTGGAGCATTTTAATCGCCCTGAGCATACTGCATGATGTGTGGGGGTATATTATCACCTCATAGCCTGTTAAGTATTACATTTGGACATTTCATATGTTTTCAGACCATGTATACCTTGTTTCAAGTAATGTTGTCAAAATTAACAGGTTGTTTGCATTAATTTGTGAAATTAAACTGATTACATTTTCAATGCATTTTAGCATATTTGCAGAATGATAAATCAAACCGTCCATTCACTTATATCACGTATTGTAATTTACAAAAAAAGATTTTCTCACATTTGGGTATTAATCACATTTAGTCAAGATCAATAATGATCAATCAAGCTTCAGTACAACCACAATTAATTAATCACGGCTAATCATCCTACACTGTGATTAATCATTTGACAGCCCTAATTTATGTTCATTAAATGATGTGTAGTTTTTATTCATGTGTTTTTCAGGAACAAGCGCAGACCTGGACGCAATTTCCCCAGGAAGCGCCAAGGCTCAGGTCCTCCGGGGAAAAAGTTTAGTGTGGCCAAAAAAAGTAGGTCAGTCACCAACACCTGTACTTACTTGCTTATGACTGATGGAGGAGGGGCTACCCTTAGATACTGTGCTTTTATTGCTCGATTGATTATAAAAACTTTAAACATGTTTATCTTTGTCTTGTGAAATGTTATGTTTTTTTTTTAGTTTTAATTTTACCTGCAACACTTGAGTTTTCCTGATTTTTGTTTTCTTTAGACTTGACAAAGACTACAGAAGTTCTGCACCTGTTGTTCGGGATCGTTCCCCTTTAAAAAGTGAAGACCGTTCATCTGCAACTGGAGGTTCTGGTTCAAATCCCAGCACCAGGGGTGGTTCACCTGATGAGAAGAAGAGCTCTTCCCAACAACAGAAACGTACATAACTCAAATACCTATTCACTCTGACAAAACTGAACCAAAGTTTCCAGTTTCTGTTCTTGGCTACCATGACTGCTACATGTATTGTTGTATGTTTTAGAATTTATATTTCAACTTTCACCTTCTTTTAGACATAAAGTTGTCCAGCTTACAGTCCCGTGAAATCACAGATTATTCCCGGGATCTGAAATGATAATACAAGAGCTGTTTTTGTAGACATTAAAGTTCACACATGATGTTCCACCAAGCAGTCTTGGACATCAGGGGGGCAGGAAAAAGGTCAAACCAAAGTAGCAGCATGCGGTTTGACCTGCTGCCCCTTTAGATTGTGTGACCTCCTGTTACAAGGAGTTTGTGACTGCGACTGGACACAAAACCTGAAAGGGCATAAGAGCCTTGGTGCTAGCTCATAGTGATGCTGGTGGAACTGTAATCTCACCCAACATTTTTCCTCCCAGCTGTCAGATATTGACAGCAAGAGAAAGCTCATTTTCCCGTTCTACACCAATGTGTATAATTACAACGTGTGAAGGAATTAAGCCTTTCCAGGTGAAGCATCTGTTTTGGAAGTTGTAGTGTGAGAGGGTCAAGGTATGCCGAAACACTTAAAGATGTTAATTACACTAACAGAAGACATTTTAGAGGCTGGGTAAAAGGATACCCATGGTTTATTGAGCCACTCAGTCTGTGTGTTCAGAACCTGACCTTTTATTCCATGAGAAACAAATGTTTCAACCTAATGTTTCCAGATTCACTTTGAGCTGTTTCATTTTACACTTTAATGACTTTACTCATGTTCAGAAATGTAATTTGTCAACAGTTACTGAGCTGTGGTACATTTTTTTTAAAAGCCTGCATTGGAATATTTTGACTTATTTGTATCAGGCAGAAGGATGGGTGAGATTTAATCTCATCACATATTTGTTTTTTTTTTTTTAGCTATACATATCACTTAGCTTACTGTGATCTGCCCTGATCTGCCCAGGTGTCAATAAAATTAAAATATAAAATATGCAATATACAAATATGTAAATGTATTTATATTTATATAAGTACATAAGTACATTTACATATTTGTATATTTAAAGTATAAATATGTATATGTGTATGTATGTGTTCGTGCATAGAAAGAGGGACAGATAGAGAGCCAAGTTCTTAATTGCAAATGTGTGAATGTGTATATATAAATACATATATAGAGAGCAATACTACCAATCATTTTAAATAAGAAGTTTTCATCTAAGATGATGAAAGTTAATTTTGAACTTTCGTAAAGATACAGATTTGTCATAAAGACGATGTCCTACAGCTGTTGTATATTTGCCTGCAGTTGCGGCGGTTTGGAAGAAAAAACAGTGTGTATAACAATGTTGTGGTCATTTGTATCGTACTTGACCGATCTGCGTCACTCTGTGACGGAGGCTCCACCCTTATGTTGTGGCCATGTTCATGACCGCTATGCTGGTGGTTGGCTGGCATTATACTTTTCTAAAGACTACTCCCTATACTGCTCTATATATTAGAATGTTTAGTATTCCTGATATGATAAGTTTGCACAGCACTTGGCCAGATGTACAAATGTAGGTAGTTCCTTTTTTTTGGACCACATAAAATGAGGTCGCAGGCCGGATTTGACCCGACCTTGACTTTGACATATGTGTTTTACAGAATCATTTTCTCTGGTATACTGTCCAAATGTGTTTGTGACTGTGAATTGACAAGATACATTACTTTAGCTAAAGTGGAAACATAAATAAATCGAATCAGTAATCATATTGGTTTAGTTCAGAACACACCAGCCATTGGTCGCTGTTTTGGTTGTTATTTAAGCAGAGCCCAACTCTTTGACCACTGTTGTGAGTAGTCATCATGAGAAGTAAACGTTTTTAATAACGTTCAGATGCTACACCGTGCCTTGGCATTAGATTCTTCTCAATAAGTAATTGATTATTTCTTTTGTCTCGCAGCAGAATCTAATTGTTCCCTGCTGGTTTCTGTTTTATTAAAACGCAGTTTAGTTAGTCCCAGACCACCAACCCTCCAGAATTCTCCCCTGTGGGACTTTAGGGCACAGAGCACAAATAAATAAAAATGAAGCAGTGGTTTTCTGGTGTGTTATTAAAGTTATATCTTTTTATACTCACTTCTTCTTAAAACAACTACACTCTGATTGATTATTTGCCTGTCTTTTTCTTTCTTTCTTTTTTCTAGAAAATCCAAGTGTGTCAGTACTCAGCCCCTCTGCAGAGGAGACTCCTCACAGCTCGGTATGTTCAAAGGTAAAGAGTCCAGTATTTATATTTAAACAAAGAACTTAAAGGGAACAGGTTATGGTTCTTTTATTCAGATTAACATGGTTCCATGATGTCTAAATGTAGTTAATAACATGGACGTGACCTGGGTGTTTCAGAGTGGTTACTTTGACATTACTTTCATGTCAGTATGTACACTAATCTATTTTATAACAAGTAATTGAAAGTTGTTTTATTACAAGAACTTTCCCCACGGTATTTGAGACAAATGTAATGTGTTCTACAATCTACAAATGTCAAATTTCTTTGATCCTTTGATCTTTGCCTACATCTTCTAATTAGGTGGCCGTACAGTATTCAGTGCCTTTTGTTGTTGACATGTGGCATGCGTAATGTGACGTGTACGAAAACAAGACCTCGACACCCGTAAAAGAGTAGCGTTGTCTCTATTTGAAACACTTTGAAATCAGAATCAGTTGCTAAACCTGGTGACCTGGGTTCTAACCCTTAACCTTTGCCCCACCAGGATCAAACTCCAGCATCTGTGGCGGAGTCAGAGGAGGTGGCCGTGACCAGCATGGAGCCAAAGCTGACACCGGAGGAAGACTTGAAGTCTCACCGGTGGGAAGTCATTAAGGAGAAGGCTCTGGAAATTGAGAAGGTATTAATTTTTTTGTCAAAATTAAATCAGACTGCTGCTAATTAAAAGTTTTATATTTGATCCTCATTGTCTTTGAAACTCCTGCTCCATTTTTTTTTCTGCCTATCATACATGAATAAAATACTTTAGTACCTACAGATGAGTTACCAGTTTACCCGATTGTGTTGCCTTTTGGTTCTTAATCTAAATGTGCTTTATTTGACTTTGATATTGAGGTGGATCGATTCCCTTTTTACATGTCAGCGATGTTCAGAATTGCAGAGAAGAAGGATGAGTCAGCAGAAAAATTTACCGTCTCTTGTGACCTACTATTTGCAGTTGCACATCTCTTACTCCCCTTCATTGCTCTTCACTATAGTGCCACTTATCTGTTCCCGTTAAATGCGGGCAGTAATTGCCTTACAGGATGAATGTGGCCCACCCACAGTGTGGTTCGTCTCCTTGTACATGACTACGCTGTCTTTGCTGAATGATTCTGCAGACGTGAGAGTCGGAGACTTGACATCAACATTTACACGTTTGGCCGCAGATATTCGACAATACATTCCGGAAAGTCTGTTTCTAAACACCATTTACTGAAAAAAAGATCTTAATAACAACGATGGAACACTAGGTTTTGTCTTTGCTTCTCAATCTGAGATTCCCGAACTTACTCTTACCGTTTTATAGATGCCTCTATTGCAAATCAGTGGAGTTTTCTCACTGTGGTACAAATAAAGAAGAGTTGCTGCAATAGCTACATCAGTTCCCTCTGGACTCTTGAGGGAACTGATGTGAAGTGGAAACCACTATTTTAAATTCTGTAATTTTCCCCCAACATTTAATACTATGTACACAAGGTTGTTGGCGAGAACCAGCCTTTTCTACCAAAATTGATTTGTCACACTTGCACAGATTTTCAGCCAAGAGTTCTAAATGAATAGTTTCAGTGGGCGTATCATTGCTATGAAAAAAATCAAAAACCTTCAAACAAAATTACTGCCTCTATAAACATGTCTGTTTATGACACTGCCTGCAGGAACACGCTTCACTGTGTCAAGTCACTTTATAACAGTACACGTTAATTGCCATGTCGTTCTGTAAACGTTCACAGCGCATTCTTTATTTTGTGAATAAACACTGTTGGGAGCATCTGCACAACAAAAACGGAACATGTAAAATCAGCGACTTCGACAGGATGAACTCGGAAAAGAACCCGTTCGTAACGCGGCTAAGTGCCTGGGACCAATTTTCAGAGAAGTCTCAATCAGTGCAAGTGAAACATATCCATTTCAACTATTGGCCACATCGTGGAGAGGTCCGGTTTGCAGCTTGAGTGATTAAAATGGCCCTTTTAATATCCCCTAATGTCTACCAGCCCTCGAGTCATTACCCGACTTCCCTTATTATGCAGCACCCCTGCCTGCATCAGCGCTTATTTGAACAGAGCCTCACTGAAAGTCTGTGTGTGTGTGTGTGTGTGTGTGTGTGTGTGAGAGTGTGTGTGTGTGAGTGCCGTACACATAATATCACTCAAACCCCTTAACTCCCCCAACCCCCACACAATATACAGACACACACTTCTGTCAGTTTGTTCACAATCTGGACCTCCACAAACATCCGATTTGGGCAGAAGCCCACTTTTTTTATTTCTTCTCCCTGAGGCCACTAATGCTGCTGTTTCTCGGGTCACCCGGCCGTCCTGTGTGGCCCTTTGGTATCAGGCTAACATCGGTTCATGACAAGAACCTGCTGCAACTTTTCTCACAGCTCAAAGAGAACACTCAGGTCAAAAGTGGCCTTGCTGTTTGTTCAACAAACAACAGTGAAGCTTTTACCAAAATAGAAACCTGTTTGAAGTCAATGCTATTGTTTGGTACAGGGATAATATGGGCTGCAAAATAACTTAAAGCAGTGGTAACCAAACCTTTTCTGCAGCATTGTATTTCTCTCTGGTGAGACTCCTACTTAGTGGCTCTGGTCATCTACTGAGAGTAGGTGGGCATTTAAACCCACCTGAACCAGTGGCTGCGTATAATCAAATTAAAAGACTGTAGCAGAACAGCTTGGAATCACCTCAGGCAGCAAATCTCTGACTGTATTCAGACAGGGAACAAAACCTGTTTTGTTCAATGACGTTGACGCTGAGCTTTGCTTGCCACACGTGTCGTGAGTCTCTCACTCCCTTGCGGTTAGTGGTGAGGCCTGTCATTATGCGGGCCCACAATTTCGCTTGACATGATCTGCAGACATAAAAGCATCAGCTTGCGTCCAAATATCTCCCACAGTCTGGGATATTTCTGTCTGTATTTTCTTGACCTGCCGCCCCTGTGTACGTGTTTTCACAATGTACCATTTATAACAATAATGTGTGCAACTTGTTTTCAGTTTAGGTGAGTGTAGATTAGGGTTACAGGAATGAATAGTTGAGTAAGAGACAGCTCGCTGTACATGCTGTAGCTAGTTTGGATACCGAACCATCAAGGTAGTTTCAGGAATATTTACCAGGAGTGACTAGTAGAGAACTTCTAAGGTGGATATATTTATGAGCTACAGCAAATTCCCACATTTATTTAGCTTCTATGTTTTGTATAATAGTTATCCATTTAAAAAAACCTCACCTGTTTCTTTTTGTGCTTGGCCTTTTGTTTTGCATGTTGGTATTTGTTGTCATTGTTCTGAGGTGAAGGTCAGTCGTATTTTTATCCAGGAACATTTCTTTGTAGAAATCTGACTAAGCCCTTCCTGCATTTTCATTTCAAAGACCATCTTGATACTGGCTGTGGTATGTTTGTTTCTTTAAGACAACATCAATAATGCATAATTGCAATATTAAATATACAGCCTCAAAATGATTGCGATGTTTGCCTGTCTTGTTCTAATGTAAAGTGAATCCATAGGAAGTCACATGACACATTAAAAACGACAGACTCACCTCCAGTTGTTGAACCAAAGTCATCACAAAACACTTTGTCATTGTCAAACAATAGATTCTAACAGTTCTCCCTTTTTCTCACTTAATTGCATTACAATAGTTCTCAGAAGAGAAATCCCAAAAGAAAACATCGATCAAGCAGGGTTATGTGGTTATGATGGGATAAATGTACAGTTTACCCCACTCGATGGGTACACGATCATGCCTCGGCTTAGATATATATTATGCCATGTCTATCCAGGCAATGAAAAAGCAGTTGTGGTTTCAAAACTGACAGAAGCCTGGAATATAACGGTTACACCGGTTAACCTCACATTTAGCTCATGGCTGGACGGTGATTAGGGTTGACAGGCCGTACTTTTCCTGTCAGAATTACCAAAACCAATGCCCTGCTTCATTGCCTGTGACCGAATTTTATTTTAGATGAGATGCTGACAAGTTTATTCCACCTGACATAAATGTTGGGATAACCACAGTTAACACATTTTAGTTTATTATATAAATCTCTGAAAAGAGATTAGGTTGCCCCCTGTTTTACTCATTGTTACACACAACTTGATGAAAGCTGTTAAATAAAGGAGAATGTGTGCTTTTGTTCAGGTGAATGTAGGTTTTATCTTTTATTTCGACAGTTAGTTTTTTTTTTTTTTTTTTTTTTGGAAAAACCTTTTTTTTTTCCCGGGCGGGGGTACAGGCGCGCGTG